TTTCAAATTAAAAAAAAAAATCTGAAAAAAGACAATATCTGGTAACAAGCTAATTTCGTAGAAACTGTGCTCTCATCTAGCCTCTTGTACTTTGTGCTATTATTTCATTTTGGTTACAACTTGATATGTTATATGCCCATCATAGTAGATTTATAACCATTCCTTTGTGCAGTAAGGCACAGGCAGTGCTGGTGTTCGTCACTGCAGTTAGCTGTGTTCGGGATGTCTGCATCGCAGCGTGGAATCCCCGGGCTTGGGCCAGCTCTGCTCACCAGGGCCCTGCGACTCACCAAGTGCTTCAGTCCTTGCGTCCCATGCAGGAGGCTCCAGTTGAATTCTAGGCTGTTTGTTTTGCCCTGACCCAACCCTGGCAGGCATTTGGGAAATGAACCAGTGGATGAAAGGGCTCTATGTCTCCTTGTCTATTTCTTTGCCTTTCAAATGGAACTACTGCTAAACACAAATCGAAGGAGATACATTTATCTTTACTTTTAATGTTAGCTCTTATTGGAATTTTTAGTATTGAAATTGAATTTGGGGCTGGGTTGGGGAAGGTGAGCTCTTTCCCACACTCTGGTTCATGTCCAGATGCCTGACTGCGAGGCCTGGTCCAGAAGTAGAGCCAAGAGCTGGGAGCATCCTGCACGTCTCTCACGTGGGAGGCAGGAGTCCGTCTACTTGGGCCGTCACCAGTGCCTCTTTGGAAGCTGAAGTTAGGAGCTGGAGCTATGGATTGAACCCCAATATGTGACATGGTCATTTTCAGCAGCACCTTCACCTGTAGGCTCAACATCTGTCCATTGCCTTGGCTTACTGTTAATGTCCTTTGCTATTTTTGGGAGAGAAGATCCACTAGTGAAACATTTCCTGCTTTTTAAAAAAACACCTGGGAGTGTACTCGGCCTGGATCCCATGTGGAGCTTCTGGAGCTTTTGGCATGGATGAGTGCTTGCTTCTTTTGAGTTCCTGATCAGACAGGCAGTTGCCAGCTCTTCCTTCTCCTCCATGTCTGTCTTGCTCAAAGCCTCGAGGTCAGCCAGAGGTGAGGGGTAATGGACAGTTTAGGTCCCTTTTGGGAACTCTCGTGACTCTTGGTGTGCACGTGATCTTGCAGAATGCCGACTTTTTGGTCAATGTCTAGTTTGCTCCAGTGGTTCCCCAACTCCTCAGATGGCAGCAACAATAGCGCCTGCCCGCAACTGCCCCAGCTGGTAGCTTTAGGCCATGTACTCACACAACCCTCTTTGGAAGCTGTCTAGGTGAACAGCCAAAGCCAGCCCTCTGCTCTGGCAGCCGGTGGTGTTGCCAATCTTGACCTTGGCACGTGGGTAGCAGACACTCAGGAGTATCTGCTTGCTAATTCAGCTGCAGCAGAATCCTCCATGTTTAAGGTTATTAGAGCACTGACCCCAATTCACCCTGTTGCTCACTCTCACTTCTCTCTGTATAATTGCTGTTAATAAGCTGCTTATAATCCATGCTGCCATTATTATAATAATGGTCACTACTATTCCTAGTAGTGTGCCATCTCACCTGGGACCATGGCACAATGGCTTTGGAGTTGTCAGGGGAGCAGGTCTTTCCCTTGCTTCCTTACTTGGCTTTGGTCAACTGAGCCCCCTGATTTGGTGTGATGCCAATCTTTATGTTCTAGGTATGTCCAGAGAAAGGGGTTGGTGTCAAATGGATGCCATGCTTCTTTGCCTTGGTCTTGATGGCTTCCCGTAGCTCTCATGCCATGAGAAGTATGTCTGGGTGCCAACAGTGGGGTTGTAGTGACTGGTGTGGGCTCGTGGCACCCTGCCTCACCGCACTCCTGGCCTTTGCCCTGCACCCTCACAGGACGGAGGCTGGTGAGGAGGTGGACAATGAGGTGTGCGAGGGAACCTGTCAGCTGGGTGGAAGCCCATGGACCCCTCAATGGGGATTACAAGCAGAGGGCAAGAGCTGCACCCTGTGGCACTATACCCGAGGTGGACCCTCCTGCTTTCTAGTGAAGACAGTGCACAGCAATGAGCAACCTGAGCCTAACCTGATGTACCTGGCAGTGCCCAGTAATAGCCAGGCCTCCTTGGTCTTGGTGATGGCGGGGAGGGTGGGGGAAGGATTGTGTTTTGCGGGGTGACCCCTATCTGTTCCTACCACAGAACCTCCTTTCCCTGCCCCAAATCCTCACTCCAGGCCCCTCATGAGGCAGCAGAGAGAACAGGCAGGACAACTGGCTAAGCAACAGGGTAGTCTCATCTAGCATTCTACGGTTCTGAGTTGGAGAATATGGTGGGGCTGGGGTGGGAGTGGGTGGGCAAGCCTAGGGCCTCTTGCTCTGCTGAGAGTAAGGTCAAGACCAGGGACACTGGGACTGGGAGGGGAACTGGGACAGGATGAGGGGCTGGAGGCTGGGAAAGCCTGGGCCATGCTGGAGGCAAGCTGGAGCCCAGGGGAACGCAGGGTTGTGGCTGGAAGTCCACAAGCCAGGGTCACTGCGGGTGTTGGTGGCGGGGGGTACACCCTTGGGGTTCAGTCTGGCATGGGCTGGGTATGTTTCCCAGCTGACCTGCTGCACCTACGTTAGCCACATGTCTGCTCTGCTAGATCAGGAGACAGCGCTCTGGCTCTTGGGTGGCATGCATCGCAGAACCCTTGCCTGCTAGCCGGCTCGATGTCCAGGTTAGCGGGGCCATCTAGGATGGAGGCTTTAGCTGAATGAATATCATTGCGAGACCAGGAGTCCACTGCTTTGGGCATCACCCTGGAGTCCCCAGAGGCACCCTGGGGAGGGGTCATCACAAACTCTGCTGTCAATGGGAATGATGTTCCTTTGCGAAAGACAAGTGTGACTGACGTTGAGGAGAGCTGTGGATGGTCAGAGGACAAGCAGGAGACCCCCTCTGCAGAGGACAAGCCGGGAGGTGTCAAGCCGTAGTGCCTGAGGAAAGAACTAGATGTGTGCGTAAGCTGAGGCACCAGGGCAGGGAGACCTGCAGGGTGGAGCTGAAGGTCTTGCGTGCACTGCCGGGAGGCACTAGATGACTTTTAGGGCAGTCACGGAGCCCATCCCTGTCATAGCCTTGGGCTGTGTGCCCCTGCCATTGCTCTGATGAAAAAGAATGTACTGCCTCTCCCCCCCGCCCCAGGCTGGGGCTGCTCCACAGCTGGGATAGGATGTGTGGGGTCTGGTCTGAGCTTTGGCATCTGGCGCTGTGGGTGCTGGGACCCAGTCCCGGACCCCAGGGCTGCTGGCCCAGCACCCACAGAGCAAGTCTACTCCCAAGGGCCAGCTGTGGGAGCGCCCCTCTGTCTGCTGAGGTGTCATGGGGAGCCTGTGGTCATGGCCTGCTCCAGGCCAGCGAGCACCACACTCACTATGCTGTTTGTATTTCTCTTTGCTCTGCAGCCTCCAAAATCAATGAACTTACACTGGCATACACGGTCTGAAACGACAGCCTGTACCAGGACCCAGGCTAGGGTTGCAGAAGCTGGCCAGGGCCAGATGCCACAGAGCCTTTGCTGCGGCCACAGCCCCTGTGGCACCCGACCTGAGAACTACATCCAAGATGACACCTGGCCCTGCCTCACAGCCACCGCTCTGGCCGCAGCTAACAGCCCTTTGGGCCTCACTTGGGCCCCCTTTGCCCCCTTCTGCCTAGAGACTGCAGCCGCTTAGAAGGTCTGTTGGGGAAAGGAAACTGCCAATTCCGACAAGTTACTCCCAGCCTGGTCTTTGCTGCATCGGTCTGTGTCACCCCCTGTCCTTCCCCACCACCCCAACCACTCACACTCGGGTAGCTTCCCCTCCTTGCCAGCTGCTCCAGATGTGCCTTGAGACCTCCACTCCTCCTTCCCAGCCGAGCCCCAGAGGCCTCTGCTGGCCTCTGGCCCCAGCCCTGTAGCCTTCTCTTTCCCTGCCACCGCCTCCCCAGCCAACCTCAGAGCCCCATGACAGGACGTGTCAGGCCCCTTCCCTGTTCTGCGCATGCTACCCCCAGGAGCCTGCACACGGGGTGTCTGCTCCTGCTCCCCTTCCTCCCAGGGCCTGTGAGCACTAGGCTGGGCTGGGGAATTCTCAGTGGCCAGACTGGTTGTCCAGGAAGCTGTTCCTGGCTTCCCAGACTGACTCCATATCTCCTGAGTGATGTGCCTTTCACAGTCACCTCCCCTCCTCTGAGCTGGGAAGAAGTATGCCTGATGGGGCCTTGGCCCCTTGTCAGGTTGCAGGTGGCTGGGACATGGCTCCCTTGTCCCACTGTCTATCCTGCCCTGCTCCCCCTGCTGCTATTCAGCCACCTGAGGGTGGGGAGGAGGTGACCGAGAAGCTAGGCAAGCCTGTGGGCACCACTGCCCAGCAAAGCAGCTGAGGCACTGGCAAGGACCTGCAGTGCACGGGGCCAGCATCTTGACCACTGGCCTGCACCCCAAGCAGGACGCGGACGCTGCAGTGACCTCCCGCCGGACACTGCCTCTTGCCGTTGCAATCAGTTCCTTCCCCTGGAGTAGAAGGTCCAAGTGGCCGGAGGCTCCACTCCTGCTCCAGGGGTTCTGGGGCCTTGTGTCCAGTGCCGTATGTCACTTGCTCCTGCCCAGCATGGTCTGCTCCCACCTGCCTCTCCCTGCGGGCGCCTGGCAACATGTGGGTGGCCCTAAACCAGCCCTGTGCACTGGGGCAGCATTGAGGTATTTGTCCTTCAAAGCTGAGTGTCATGTGTTGGGGTGCCCTGCTCTTGCTGTGGATACACCCCATGCTCATGAGGGGCAGTTGGGCTCCCTGGGATGGACAGGCAGGCAGAAGCATCGAAAAGGGAACCCTACAATGCTTGCTTTGTCCCAGTGTGTGGCTAGGTATCAAGTCTGCATCTCCTGGGGCTGTTATCTGTGGCCTGGCTGCCACTGGACTCTGAGCCCCTGCGGCTCTCTCATGCCTGTGAGCACGTGTTCTTCAGGAGCCTGCGTGTAGCCAGAGCTTGTCTTCTCATCTGTCAACACGGGCGTGTGTCCCAGTGGCTATGAGCTTGCGAGGGGGTGGCAAGCAAGCCGGCTGCACAGGTCCTACGGCCTCACGTCTCCTGGTTGCCCAACAGGAGGCAGGGGGCGGGCCGTGGCCACTGATTAAAGGCAGCCTGGAGCAGCCTGTGTGGAGACAGGTGCCCAGCAGCTCAAGAAGCCAGCCAGCACCCGCCCCAGGTAAGCCAGCGCTGGTGTTGGTCGTGACTACTACCAGGAGCCTGGAGGCAGGCACGGGCTGCTTTGGGGCCAGCATCTGTAGGCCAGAGGCGGCCCAGGGGAGCCTGGCATCCGATCCTGATGCTGCTGGTAAAGGGGTGAAGGGGCTGGGCTTGGGACAAGAGGGAGAGGGCCTGGGGAAAGGAGGCAGGATTGCGGCAGGCTAGGGGAGCACACAGTGCAGGCCATGCTGAAGTGAGTCTCTGGTTGCTGGCTTCCCAGTGCAGGTACCAGGAGGTGGGCAAAGGGCGCCCAGGGCCTGGACGGCTGTGAGCCACGGCCAGAGCGGTGGCTGTGTGCAGCAGGGCCAGATGTCATGGGTGGAATTTTCAGGTTTGGTGCCTCTTGCTCTAGCCTCGCTGCGCTGTGACGCCGTCACCATGTCTGAGGTACTTCGGGCCGAGACCTTTGTCTTCCTCGACCTGGAAGCCACTGGGCTCCCCAGCGATGAGCCTGAGATCGTTGAGCTGGCCCTGTTCGCTGTTCACCGGTCCTCCCTGGAGAACCCGGAGCGTGACGAGCGGGGCGCCCCTTTGCTACCCCGGATCCTGGATAAGCTCACGCTGTGCATAAGTCCCAGGCGTCCCTTCACTGCCAAGGCCAGCGAGCTCACCGGGCTGAGCAGTGAAGGCCTGGTGCAGGCCCGGAAGCCTAGCTTCGACAGTGCTGTGGTGCGAACCCTGCAGGCCTTCCTGAGCCGCCAGGAGGGCCCCATCTGCCTTGTGGCCCACAATGGCTTTGATTACGACTTCCCCCTGCTGTGCATGGAGCTGCAACGCCTCGGAGCCCAGCTGCCCCAGGATACCATCTGCTTGGATACACTGCCAGCGCTGCGGGGCCTAGACCGTGCTCACAGCCATGGCACCCGCTCCCAGGGCCGCAAGGGCTACAGCCTGGGCGCCCTCTATCACCGCTACTTTCAGGCAGAGCCCCGTGCAGCCCACTCAGCTGAGGGGGATGTGCATACCCTACTCATGATCTTCCTGCACCGTGCTGCCGAGCTGCTCACCTGGGCAGATGAGCAGGCTCGCAGCTGGGTCCACGTCAAGCCCATGTACATGCCGCCTGACCCCCAGTTCTGAGGCCCTGCCCCGCCCCTACTCCCGCCCTGGGCTCCCCGGCCACATGCCCCTAGAGCCCTGTGTGAGGCCCAGCCGGGCCCAGACGTGCTCCACTGCAGCTTGCTGTTGCGGGGCTTCTGCTCTCCGGTCCTTTCTCAATAAACATTGTAAGCTAATCACTGGCTGTCCTTGCATACTCTCGGGCCAGGTGCTTCACTGCCCAGCCTGGCCAGGAGCCGGAGCAGAGCCACACGTGCCTGCTTAGTGTGTCCTTGCAATGAACTGCATGTGTGGATGGGGACGGCTGGGGGGGGGCTGATGGATTGGGACTGGGGACCCTGAGCTGCCAGCCACTTCCCTGGCTGGTCTGTCACTAGTCCTTTGTTCTAGCACTTTCTACGTCATTGCCCCACAGAAGCGATGAGCAGGGCCTTAGAAAGGGCAGTGGCTTGGGGAGTCGAGCCTGCAGGACCAGCGCTTAGCACTGCCTTCAGCCTGTGTGCCTGCTCTATGAAATGGGCACAGCATGAAGTGCTGTGATCCAGAGTGGGAAGGAGTCACACCCACCTACGTTTGCTGCGGGCACAAGTATGCTGGTATCCTTCGGCAGTGTGCAGCTGAGGTGGGCCTGGGGGAGAAGGCGACACCTGCAAAGGAGCCTGCCCTGGGTGCTGCCTTGGCTGAACTTTGGGGTACTGGCCAACTTGCCTCTGGGGCCCTTTCCGGACGCACTCTAAGTCCAGTGCGTGGGGAGTTGGGTGAGGAGAGTCCTGTGTCACCAAACACAGGTAAGAAAGGGTGGGGTGGCCACACCCAAGAGTGACGCATGAGCAAGGCCTCCAGTCTTGAGCCAGCTGGGCCCATTTAGGGGACGCTAAGTAGGTCACAGTGGCTGGAACCACTGCAGCGTGCAAAGTGGCTAGCTGGGTGACGACACCAAACAGGTTGTGGCCACGTCACACTGAACTGGGCCCACAGCATTGGGCAACCTCAGAGTTGTCAATAGCAGCAGCAGAGTCTCATCTGTGTTGTACACTGCCTTTCCAGCTGCTCACTGGAGAGTGGTCTGCAGGAGGAATACAGCAGCCGGCGGGGAGTGAAGCTGACCAGGCCTACGCTCTGCTGGGGGAGGGGCAGGGCAATATATGGGGAGTCTCACAGGAACCGGGGCCGACTGAACTGCACCTCAGCGCAGGAGGGCCAGGGGACATAGCACCCCCAGGTCTGTTATCAAGGCAGGGCCTATTCCCACTTACTGGCCTAAGTAGGCTCCATGCGGCTGGCAGCCTGAAGCAGGAGTTAGTGCCCTAACAGTGCTGATCTGTCATTACCTTGCTGGGTGGGTTGCCCTTAATGGCTCCCCGTGGGCCACTGCCCAGGCTCAGTTCCCAGCACCCACCGCTGTGGTGCCAAGGTAGTTTGGTCTTGCCCAGTCTCCCTGAGTCCACTTGGACAGTCTGAGCCAAGCATCCAACTTCTGTGTTGCTCAGACAGGCTTTGACGTGCCTGGGGCCTCCCGGCTTTGACGTGCTGATAAATAGCCAGCAGACAGCCCCTCTGGGATAGCGCCTATGCAAGGGCTCATGCCAGAGCCTTGCGTGGCCCGGCGTGCCGGGAACACTGTCCTTGCTGAATCGGGCCGGGGGCTTCCAATTCTGACCGAGCCTTTTCTTTTTCCTTTGTGTTGCTGTTGACCTTGTAGGGACCACATTTTTCCGAGGTTCTCCTTTATTTTTAGTGCCTATTTATGTAATTTAAATTAAAGATTGTTTTATTTGAGAGAGCACATTTCTTTCTACTGGTTCATTCCCCAAATGCTTGCTTGGGCTGTCCCAGGTTGAAGCCAGGAGACTGGAGCTCAGGCCGGGTCTCCCATGCGGGTGGCAGGACTTTCGAGTCAGGAACTACAGCAGGAATTGAATTTAGGCACTCTGATAGGATGGGGCTGTCTTAACAGATATCTTAAGCACTAGGCTAAATACTTTATGTCCCTACTTTAATGTTCAACAATCAATGGCTGTGTTTAAAACCAGCACCCCCTGCAAATTCCCAAGCATTGCATTTCCTAGAATGACTGCAACAAAACCGACGAGTCACTTCAAGTGCTAGTGAGGACAAGAGGTCCCCACGGTGGTCCATGCCATGGCTGCTTTGCAGCACACTTTGCTGGTATCGGTAATGATGAAACGTGCACCTACCATGCAACCCAGCGCTTTCACCCCAGGCTCTTACCTGTAGACCTGTGGAAAGTCAATTCTAGAATGTTCATCATGGCTTTATGATGACCCCAGTGTCATCATAAACTAGTAACTGCAGTGTCCACTAGCAGGTGAATGGTTTGTAATGCATGCTACATCTGGATCAGAGCTGCTGCTAAGCAACCGCAACCAAGAGGAGTGAGCCGCCCCCCACCCCCCCGCCACCCATGACTTGAGTGACTGGCACTCAAAACAACTGGGCCGAATGAAAGGAGCCAGGCTGCAAAGAGCCTGTAGTACATGTGCAGAGCCGCTCCACTGCGTCAGCTCTCCTCCCAGAGCTGTGCATCAGCTCATAAGGGTATTTGCCAATGGGGACACAGCTGTGATCCCAGCAGCACATGGGGCAGGGGGCAGATCTCTAAGTCAGTTGACGGGGGAATTATCCAGGGAGTGGGACACATTTACAATGAAGGGCATGCACATCACCAGCTGGTCTTTATACAGTGACTCGTGATGGACGGGAAGTGTGAACCACACCATGTAGCATGCCAGCGTGGGAAGTCAGAGGTGGGAAGCAGCTGCCCTCCTTGCCCTCACCTCTGGGAGACACCTGCTGTCAGGAGAGGCACTCCACACAGAGGGTCCCTAAGGCCCCCTATACACCCCCACACGCACACACTTACAGTAACACACACATAGAGGCATCCTCACACTCTCATGTGCAGGCACCCTTACACTCAAACATACAGGCTTCTGTAAAAACACGCATGCTCACACAGGACATCCCTACACTCTCTGTCACATTTACGCACACACGGATATTAACAAACAGGAATCCCTACACATGCGCTTCCCTACACACATACACACACAGGGGCATGCCTATACACACAGAGGATTACACACATGCTTCCCTACACACACACAAACACCCAGAGGAACCCCTACACACACATATATACAACATACACACATGCACAGAGGAATCCTTACACATGCACATATGCACACACATACACACAGAGGAACCCCTACACACACACATTGTATGCACTTCAGCAGCACACATACACACATACACACATACAGAGGAATGCCTACACACACATACACACATACAAACAGGAATGCCTACACACATATGCATACACATACATGCATGCAGAGGAACCACTACACACACAGACAGGCACACACTCACAGAGGAATTGTTAACACACACAGACACACACATACACAGACGAACCACTACACACACAGAGAAGAGCCCTTACACATACATGCACGCAGAGGAGTCCCTACATATACATACACACACACCGACACACATGCATGCAGAGGAACCCCTTATACACACCCATATACACTGAGGAATCCCCCCCCCACATGCACACACATGCACAGAGGAACACCTACACACATACATACACATACACAAAGAGGAACCCTACACACACGTGCACAGAAAATCCCCCTACCCACAGGGGGCAGAGGAATCCCTACACACACACAGGGGAATCCTTACACACATCACATACACACAAAGGAACCTCTACACACACATATACAGGAATCACTACACACACATACACACACTTATACACTGACAAATCCTTACACACATGCGTGTACAGAGGAGCTCCTACATACACATACACACGCATACAAAGAGGAATCCTTACACACACATACATACAGACGCATACACACAGGAGCCCCTACACACACGTACACACAAGCACGGCGGAACCCTTCACAGACACACAGAGACATCTCCGTACACACACAGGGGAATCCTTACACACACAAGCCCTTCCTGCACACAGAGGCGTCCCTGTACACGGATACACATACTCTGCACTGATTTTTAGCTGTGAAGTTGAGAAGCGGTACGCTCCCTCTCAGGATCAGTCATCCTTTCTCATCACACACACGCTCGTGCAATACATCCGAACACTACCACATACACTAATCCCCCCGCCACATACACTAATACCCCCGCCACACACACTAATCCCCCCGCCACACACACTAATACCCCCGCCACATACACTAATACCCCCGCCACATACACTAATACCCCCGCCACATACACTAATACCCCCGCCACATACACTAATACCCTTCCTCCTTCCCCCTGGCCCCCAGGCATCGCTGCACTTAGATTCCTTTTGACACACACCTGAATTTGCCTTTTAAAGTGACGGTCAACCTTTCCTAAGCGAACCAGCTTGGATGAGGATCTGGGAAGTGTTATTTGCATTTCATCTCAGTGCGTGCTGGCTACCACAACAAAAAGTTATTGACCAGGTGGCTTTTAAATGAAAACAAAAAGAGACAGAGCTCTGTCATCTGCTGGTTCACTTCTTAAGTGCTTTCAGTGACTGGAGGTGAGTTGAACTGAGCCCAGCAACTAGGAGCTCAGGCCAGCTGTCACATGTAAGTGACAGGAAGGCAAGCACTTGAGCCATCACCTGCTGTTTCCGAGGAAGCTGGAGTCAGGAGCCAGCCAGCCATAGAACCCCGATCCTGCAATGTGAGACGCAAGTGTTTAAACTGGCAACTAAACTGGTAGGCTAGAACCCCACTCCTTGGTGGCTTTTAAACAACACACATTTTTTATAGTGCTAGAAGTTCAAGATGAAGGGTCTGGTAGGTTCAGTGTCTGAGGACCTGCCCTTTGTAGATGCTGCCTTTGTGTGGTGTGTTCATGTTGTACAGAGACATTAATCCCCTCATGACCCTGTCGTCTCCCGCTGGTCCCACCTCCTCAGACCATCACTTTGGTGATTACGTTCTAACACAGGAATTCGGGGGATACAGACGGACCACAGCACATCAATATTCACACACACACTTACAACTCCCCACCCCCCCATTCCTGCACACACGTAACTCCTGTGCAACACATACACCACATATGTATATGCATCCCACATATTGACTAATGTTT